CCAGTTCCAAAGCAGCCTTAAATCCTCAGTTTTGTTATGTGACAGTCCTGTCAGCTAATTTTATCTTTCAATTGATATAAATACCGACAAAAATTGAAAACATATAACATATTATTTTTCCATTAAAGTTATTGTAATTTCCTGAATTTCAGGTTATAACTCGGGTTAACTTGAAGTTTAAAGTTGAGTCCAATTGGACCTTATAAAAGTAGTTGGACTCAATTTAGTGTTTTTGGGTTTGAGTTGGACCTAAGAGTTAGTTAGCAAAAGATGAATGTCTTATGAATTAGAAAATAGAGGGACTAAAAGTGTAATTTACCCATTTCTTAATTCAAAAGCTTAAAACTCCTCTATTTTATGAGATATAAGGGAACAACTCCCCGTTTTTCCCACCAAACACTCATCTTCTTCTTCCATATTTTCTCTTTTCTTCTCCCATATTCAAGTTGAAGGATTTAGGACGTCAAGTTTAGTTTGGGTCAAGCAAATGTAAGATTATTAACCCTCACCCTTCAAGATTCATTTTAAGTTCTATTTCAGTAGTTTTATCCATAGAGAAAAAATGGGGTTTTAAAGGGTTGTGAGAATCTATGGATTCTAGCTATGTTTTGGATTATAAGGAGTTATTTAGAATGTATTCAACCTATAGATGGATTAGTAATACATTTTCTTACCTTGTTTAGTAAGGAATTGGGAGAGAGTTCCAAATCAAAAGATAAAGAATAGTTGAGCATTGGTTGAGTTGAGAAGAGTTATAGCCACCAAGGAAGCAAGGTAACACCTTTACAACTCTTCAATACTCTTAGTGAGTCATTAGAAGTTCAAAATTGTAACATCCTCAATACCGGGTTAGTGACTAAATTGTAAAATTTTAGAATTTGGGGATAAAAGTAGAAAATTGAATAGTTCAATGATTTATGTGGAGATATTTCCTGAAAGTTATTAGTATTATTAAAGGAGATTAGGGCAAATGGTCTTTGTTATCTAAAGATAATTATCTTATCTCTTTATTATGAGATAAGCTTGTGGGGAGAGTTATCTGAAAAACTCTTCTCCCTTCTTCTTCCTCCTCCACGTGAGAGCTCAAGCAAAGGTAAGATTTCTTGTTGTTGATTATTAGCTGAAATTTAAGGTTGAATTTTGATTATGTGATAATAAGCATAAGAAGAGCTTAAAGTGAAATCTTGAAAGAGGGTTCTTTAATGAGATTTTAGAGTGAATTTGACTTGTCATCAATCTAATTAACATGTATGAAGTGTTAAAATTGGATTTGTAACATGCTAAAATTTGGGTATGATTCTTGAATTTCTTAAGGAGAATAGGATATGGAGGTTAAAGAAGTGATTATTGAGTAGAAATGAGTGCAAATATGTATATGTAAGTTAGGAATATGAAAGTGGATGAAATATGAAGCATTTGAGTTGAATCAAATGGATTTTCGGGCTTAAAATACAAATTCTGGGCAAGGTGTATCGATGCACATTCAATGTGCATCGATGCACTCTTTAAAGAAGAAACATCGAATGCAATTGGTGCATCGATGCATAAGAAGTGCATCGATGCATCCCTTTAAAAATGAAAACATCGAAGGTAATTTGTGTATCGATGCATGGGTAGTGCATCGATGCACATGTTAAAGAATGTATCGATGCACTGTAGAATGCATCGATGCACTTCAAGGGGAAATTGAAATAGACATTTCTTTTGGTCTAAGAAATGATAGATTAGTGTATATCAATTGGATACTGATATGTATCAATGTATGATTATATAGATATCGAGCACGAACAAGTCCTGGTCGATTGGCAAGTTAAGATTCAATAGAAAGAGAGGAAAATCATAAAGTGTATTGGAACGTAGTGAGGCCAATGTGAGTGTACATTAGATAGTGTATTATGTTTAGTGGAAATAAGACTTGTGACAAGTCTATTTCCTATAGTAGAATGCATGAATTCATTAATATGAGCATATGTTTGATATGCTATGTGTGTGTTATTGATTGTTACATATGTTAATGATATGAGTGAATAAATGTTTATATGATACATGTTAAGTGTCCATGATAAATGCACACATGATAATATGATATAAGTTAAATTATGTAATATGATACATAACTATGAGATAAGTGAAGAAATGTATATATGATAGAGATTATGTATGTGATAAATTAATGATATGAAAAGTGACATGAACTACGTGAAAAGAAGCTACCTAATTACAGGTACATGTGAAAGAAGTTATGAGTTTATAAGAACATGTGATATGAATGTGTATATGTGATACTTGAAAGTGAATCATATTATTATATGAATATGAGAAATGATATGATAAAAGCTATGAGCATATGAGATATGACTATGTGAAACGATATAAAAGAGAATGCCCATGTAAGTGTTAGGAGAGCTAGAGGTATAGTTGGCATGCCAAGAGTCGAGGGTCTACGCGGTCCTTCGGGACATATGTGTTATATGTAGTCCTTTGGGACATCTACGTGGTCCTTCGGGACAAATTCTACGCGCCCCTAGTAGGAATTCTACGAGTTGTGGTGACAGCATAGTGCACAACCTCAATAGACTCACATGTCTACAGTTCTCACATGTGTACATGGGCTATTAAAGAGATAATTGTGAAATCAATGTATGTGATATATGTATATGAATTGCATGATATGATATGGGTTATTGTATCTGTTACATGAATATATGTTGATGTATATGTGAGTGAGTATAAATGAATAAATTCTACGCGCCCTAGTAGGAATTCTACGAGTTGTGGTGACAGCATAGTGCACAACCTCATAGACTCACATGTCTACAGTTCTCACATGTGTACATGGGCTATTAAAGAGATAATTGTGAAATCAATGTATGTGATATATGTATATGAATTGCATGATATGATATGGGTTATTGTATCTGTTACATGAATATATGTTGATGTATATGTGAGTGAGTATAAATGAATTATATATGATGATATAAGAATTTGTTATAGTTATAGAATATATGAAAGATCATATGAATAAGAAATAAGAGATATGAAGTATAATAGTATAGGAGCAAGATAAAAACATAAATGATGATATGTATGTAATTGTTAAATGAAAAGCATATGAGTGAGATGATTTGATATGATAATAATAGTTGTTCCTGTATGATTACAAGTTAGAGTTTACATTATATATTTATTCACCTCACTAAGTCATAGACTTAGCGTGTAAGTGTTTCACACGCATGTTCTTACAAGCTTATGGATTGTTGAGGTGCAAGTCAGGTCAGCATTTTTCCTTACAAAGTTTCAGATCAGAAAATAGATGATTTAAATGTATTTTATGGTATAAAAGTCTAGTTGGCATGTATTTAAAAGATTTGAATTGTATAAGCTCTGAATAGTTCTGTAAACGTTTTGAATAAGTTATATGTTATAAAAGTTTTTAAATTACTCACTATTTTATACAAGTAAATGTTTTAAAAAGTCAATATGACACTTCAGACTCGGATCCAGGTCGGATTCGGGTTTGGGGTGTTACAAAAATAGTTTAAATGGTTGAGTTGAGCATGATAATCATTTCCATGATGAAATTCTTGTTTTAGAGTTATAAATGTGTTTAAAGCATCTATTATGACCCTTGTTGGTTCAATAAAACTTTAAGCGTGTTTGGGGACCTCACTAAGGTCTTTGGTTTGAAATATAGCATTTTTGTATGTGTCTTATGACTTCTACAGGTACAGTATCGATACTATTGGGATAGTATCGATACTTGTTCTTCATTTTGGGCAAATTCGTGTATTTCTGGCCAAAAGTATCGATACTCTTTTAATAGTATCGAAACTTTGGGTCATAGTTTTGAAACTTGGCAAAACTGAATGTTTAAAAGTATAGATACTTATATAAAGTATCGAAACTTTTGAATGAGTATCAACACTCTTAGGGTAGTATCGATACTTTCAGTTTGTTTAGGCAAGAATGTTAGTTTTTAATGGAATTAGACTCGAGGTACCACAAAACTTCATTTTTATCATCAAATAAGGTTGCAAGTGAGAATATTAATTATATTAATTATACTTAGAAACAAGATTTATTAGGATGACATAAAAATAGCCTTGGATGATGCTCGAGAAACGACCAAGACACCTGAATTGCTTTAGAAAATGCTAGCATTATCGAAAGTATAGATTCAGTCTGGATATATCCTTAGGTAGGGCCGAGGCCCTTCTGACTAACTATGTTTACTTAGTCCTTAACACTCTTTAGAATAAAGGGTGGGTTAGTCAGGGGCATGGTTTCCGATGTAAGAGAATTCCAGGGGGCCATATCCAGGGTAAACTAGAGGGGCGTGTGAACTCCGAGATGAAAAACCCTCAGCCGCACCATGATGTCTACCATAGCATAGAGATTGAGTATTCGAGAATACTCACTAAAGCGGTTTTAAAGCATACTAGCTTGGGCGCAAGGTCTAACACTCAAGGAGTGGTCTAGTAGAACAAAACATATAGTAGAACAAATAGCAGTAGACTTGATAGTTTGAGCATGTCATGAACACTATTAGTATGACTTAGTTGTTAGTGCGGCACTGAGCTAGTTAGCTCAACGTTTTTAATTTGTTTCCTTACGCAAGGTTAGACAAGGAGTAGTCTGAGGACTTTTTGGGACCAACATTGATCCAGACCCGGTTAGTGAAGAGTACGTCTGAGGTCATCTTTATAGAGGGTATGTATACTTGTGAACCCCTTTATATTTTTTGTATGGGTCATTTTTAAGCTATGGTCTGTATGATTTGAAATAATATTTTTGGGAGCTCCTTATGTAAATCATTTTATTTAAATTGTGGTTGATTCATTTTAGCGTGAATGTTTACAATAGTCATTTTTAAAATGAAAAATTTTAAAAGAAAATTTTGGTTAATCACTCCGGTGGTTCTGTAGCATTCTGATCGATCGACTGTGTACTGGTTTAAGGTGTTACAGTTATGGAAATACATATTATAGTTTCTAGACAAGAGAATCATCTTCTTTTAAAGCCAAGCGTCACAAAATAAATAGATAAACTCTCTAACAACGATAAAGACTACAAAAACGGTACATTGAAAGCATCATTCTGATGAAAAGAAAGAAAGCATCATAATCACAAAAGGTAGTACTACATTGTTGTAATTGTTATGCAAGGAAGATGGTAATTGGTTAGGGACAAATGGCGATAAAAACAAAGGGCTTTCACACCATGCTTTCTTCGCCCTCTAGCACACCCCAAAGCAATAGAATCAACAAAAACTCTTACTTTGTTTGCAACACCTACAAAATAAAGTCAAGACCCACATATTAATTACATTTCTAAACGATTTGGAAGGGTAGAAACCCTAAAAGTTGCAGAGAAAACAAATAAAATGTACCCAAAACTGGATAGGATGTTTTCAGTATGAAGTTGCGTTGCTCATGTCTCGTGGAGCACTGCATCTGAAACATTCCATTCGGCTGGCAAAGTTGTGCTCATTGCATCCCGACCTGCATTCATCCACCAAATATATATATATAACTTCTTCTTGGTGCAAAAAACAGTCAAAAGAAACTATAGTATGGAAAACAAAGAACCATTGCGCTGGGATTTTTAGATTTTTTTTTATGTATTTTCTATTAAAAATCTGTTTTTATCCTCTAAAATTTTATAAGTTAAAGTCCCAAAATAAAACTTAAAATCATGCTACTGTTCCTGCATACCATTAACATGCAAACAAATCATATGCATATAACATACATGCCCCATGCATGTTTACGAATCTGAAAAGATACCAAGAATTCACCTGGTACATATCCAGTCGCCGGATTTCCACCCGGCTCTGTTAGCGCCACCGAATCCTCTAGACGCACAACATCGCAGTCGAACCCTCCCGCAGAGTCGTCCTTGAATGCTCCGCATTTGAAGCAGCTAGAACGACTGGCGAAATTGTGAGTGCCACAGCTTCCCGCAGTGCAGTACCAGTTACCTGGTCGGACATCGGAGCCGATGGTGAATCCAAAGGATGAGTCTCCCCTCCCACCGCCGAAGCCTCCGAAGTTGTCGCTTGACCGGAATTCCCCACAGCGTTGGCAGGAGTCCCTCCTTTGGAAGTTCAGGTGCTGGCATGACCTACAGCTCCAATCTCCCGGCCTGCTCATCTTTTCAAAACAAATACATTTTAACTCAACAGCCGATACAATGTCTGAAAAGAAAACACTAAGATTCGAAGTACTAACCTTAATTAGAATAATCCAAAAATAATAGCTTGCACTTGAACAAGAGAGTGGATATCGAAGGAATTCTTGAAGAAACGGGTCAAGTAAGGGCTCTTTATATACAGCGCTTAGACCAGATAAAAAGCAATAAATGGAGGGCTAGCTGAGTGTCGTGTTCTTCTCATTTAGCCTTGATAATAATTACATTACGAAAAATCTAATAAAGCAAGAAAAGAGATAAAGGGAAAAATTTGAAATTGTCAATAAATAGGGTTTCGGTGATACAATAACATTATAGTCAAGTAGTTGGTGCATGGACATATACATGCATGGTAGCAACCCAACCCCCACGTAAAAAGCAAACAGGAGATCCTGTTAACTTACATACCTAATCCGAAATTGCTCTTCACTCAAGTATATGTATTCAAAGTTGAAAATCATGTATCACCCTTTGAAAAAGGTCTTTGACCACTCCCCTCTCATCTCATATATCTTTCTATATCATCTTTTTTATTTTAATAAAAAAGTTCCATGTCCTATTTAGTAAAATTGTTTTTACTTTACATCTATATTTGAATATTATCCTTTTCTTTTTTAACAATGTTTTTGTTGAATGGGGTTAAAGAGCAAGTAGCATTAGTCTTTTGGTTAAAGAGATATTAGTTACTCTATTTATTTCATGAATTACGTTTATCCTTTTCTTGGTTTAGGTTTTTTAAATCTAATTCATAGAATATAAATGAAACTTAAAGTAACATGATTAGGGTTTTTCCAAATTGGCTAACATCATATATATATTTGCTTTGATTGATGAGTAGTACATTAATGTATGAACAATCTGAAGGGAGAGGGGGAAAAAGAAGCAGCTAAATGGAATACAATTCATGCATGCACATATTCGATTATAATTTGGATATATTTCGAGGAAAACTTAGAAAAGAAAAGGCAAATGGTAAAAGAAAAGGGCAAGTGGTGAGTTTCAATAAAGATAGGTTTAAAGGTTTTCATTTTGACCATCTTTTCTTTTTCTTTTTCCTCTGCGCCTGCTTTGCTTAATCACTATGCCCTGTCTTTCCTTTTTTAATCTTTCAAAACCACTATTCTTTATTGATAATTGCGGCTTTCAACCCCCCAACAATTCTATCATATTTATTATGATCACGAATACAACTTATACACATGAAAGAAAGGAGAAAATGGGAAGGAGATTCCCAAGGCCAGTGGAATCACCCACCGCACTTTGCTCTTTTCCTTTACCATTCTTCAAGAGAATGAACAACACTTGTTATTATTTATTCAGAATTGTTCGTCTAGCTCAGTTGGTAGAGCGCAAGGCTCTTAACCTTGTGGTCGTGGGATCGAGACTCACGGTGGGTAATTTATAATTCTGACTGCCGGAGGTCTTCCACGGAAGCTGCTCTCAACCTGGCGTTGGGGGCAGCCTACTATCTTACCTCCCTCACCCCATTACATATGGGAATAGGGTCAGCTAATTTTTTCATTTTGTTACGCCTGGATTCGTGTGTGTTTTTATCAGGTTCTTTAAAAATATTCTTTTAGAAATATAATTAGGAATTCATTAAAAATCTCCTCATAATTCATTCAAGTCGGCTGAAGAAAGAAAGAACAATTAGAAACTTTCATTAATCAATTCATAAAGTAAACAAAATATCCGATACAAACTATTACCCACGAAAACAATGACAAAACTGAATCCACATAACATAATGTAATTACCGTCTAAACTCAAATAAAATTCCCATATATTAACATTTATAAAATAAACTTTTAAAATTAACAAAACGTTTGACATTTTCATCCTTTGCGAAATAATTTTATACATGTTTTTAGTTCATCTTTTGACCACTTGAGAAATTAAACGTGGAGTTGAATGCCAACATGGTTGTGCCGGTGTTGCATGCGACATATAAAATCTGGAAAAGTGAGATTTAAATCCACAACTTTAGGGTGTATGGAAAGGGGCCGAGATGTAAGACTACCACTACCATAAAGACACAACCATTTTAAGTATGCTTCAAGTAATACAAAGCTAAAGCTTTGTCTAAAGCATCCCTCCATGATTTTTTTTTAGATATCGTAAATACTAAAGTTTAAAACTAAAAAGTTTTCAAACATCACTTTCTAAACATAATTATGACAATCGATAACGTATACACTCTATAAATATAGTTATTCGAATTTAAGTCCTCTAAAAAATATTTTCTTTAACCATTAATACCACTCCATCAAATTTTTTTTTTCATGCTTAAAATATACACAAACGGAACGATTTTGCATATCTACATTTCCTTTCGTATATAGGCAGTTTAGCTTACAGCCCGTTCACGTATTTAAGAAAATACCATATCTAGTTAAACCCTCGTTTTTGCATATTTGTGTTATTCACACATAAATGCATCTATAAGCTTTTATTACGAGTTAATTGCATCATGTGTCCTTAAAATATAACTCTCATTCCAAATTATTCCTTAAAATTTTTAATTTTTTAATTTCATCCTTAAAATATGACTCTCATTTTAAATTAGTCCTTAAACTTTTGAACATTCAAATTTCATCCCTAAACTATGAATATCATTCTAAATTGGTCCCTAGTATTTTAGATCTTTCAATTTCATCCCCAGATTCATCCCAATATGTAATCCATTTCAACCATAGTTTAACCTAAATTTTATTTTTTTTCAACATATAATAATATAACTAGCCTAATGATTTTATTAACAAGAGATGAGATTAGTATATATGAACAATTAGGAAAAAATTGAAATATTCAAAAAGTTTGGGGGACCAATTTAGGATGAAGATCATAGCTTGGGGATGAAAATGAAATGTTCAAAAGTTTGAGGACTAATTTAGAATAATAGTCATAGTTTAAGAGTGAATTGAAATATTTAAAAGTTTAGATACTAATTTGAAATGAGGGTCATAGATTGAGGATGATACAATTAACTCTTTTATTATTGATAAAACCACAACTCCAAAACAATTAGGTTTACAAGCGCCTAATCGGATTTTGGAACGCCGGCATGCATGTTTGATTTTTGGAGGCTTAAGTGATGTAATTAGAGCCCAACCCACGCCTTTGAAAACCCCATTGCTTATTTATTTCAACAGCAACCCACAAATTTGCCATTCTCGTCGTGTTTCACCAGGAGCTTTCTGCCTTCCCCATCCCTTCACAATGATCTTTACCGTAACTGGTACAAATCCTGGGAAAAGTTACAGGTTGCCCAAGGATGTTGGTCATAGTTCCACCACAATTACCCACAAAGGGGTCTTACCATACAAGAGTTCGTACAATAACAACCCCAAATGTAGGGATAGACTTGGGGGGGGGTGATCACCCCTAAAAATTAAAAATTATCATATATTTTAAATTTTATCTATATATTTTCTATTAAAAATTTGTTTTTACCTCCTAAAATTTTATAAATTCAAGTTCGCCTTCTTGAAATTTTATAAGTTCAAATTCATTCTCTAACATAAAATTCTACGTCAATCCCTACCCAAATATGCTCACTAATCTGCAGTATTCCCGTTGCCTAACTCCCAGATCACCTCGCGTGCCCGGATCAAATAAATACTGGTAGTATCTCTTCAGCACTCAAACAGGAAGAAGAAGAAGAAGCTTTCATCTTGTTTTTCTTGCTAAGCAACGATAAATGAGTAGCAATAGTATCACTTGCCCATGTGGCAGTGAATATTGGTGGAATGTCACAATCAAAGGAGAGATCGATGTCCGTGAGCATAAATTGGAAGTTAGAATATAACATAAACTGAGGCATACGCTCAAGCTCTCCAGCTCTAAGTAACATCAAAAATTTTCTTATGCAGATGAAATCAAGTTAAGAAACTACAAATGATTCTAATACTTGAAAGGAAACGTTTACAAAAAGTTTGTTACTAGTACATCCTGCAAAACTGATGCAAATTGCAAATTCGGGAGAGTTCCTAAAATCCAAAAGGAGAATGGGGTTTTAGGTGTTTGTTTGATAGAATGATAAAGTAAAAAGAAGTAATCCCGCTAATGGAGACGGATATAGCAAGAGTGGCAGTTGCATCAAATCTTATCTCATACATGTTTCTATACTTCCTGGTGTAACTTACAAAATCTTAACTTTCAATGGGGTGCTCCTGGAAACAAGATCATCATCTGTGAGACTCCTTGCTTTCCATCGTATGATGGTTACCATATCACTTAACCAGCTTTAAACAGAATGAACCTGAACCTATCGTGATTACAAATCAGTCACTCAAGTCATCGAACCCTTCAAATCTGGTCCCATTAGATGCATCATCAACTGCTTCCCCATTTTCCTTCTCTTCATCATCAGTTTCCATTGCCTCTTTCTCACTCTCATCTGTGTCCTCAAATATTACTGGACTTGTGGCATCCTCATCAACCTCATCCTCAATAATCTGTTATAAAAAATGAATAAAATAATAATAATAAAATTTACAGTACAGGTTCCAAATTAACCTGCAGAGTTCTAATCAGCCAAAAACTTTGACATAACACGTACTGCTGCATAAAGGAGGTCTAAGCAACTTGATATTTGAAGAGCTGATTCAAAAGTTGAGACTCTAGATTCAATAAGCTGCATAAAAACAAGCATTCCCATTGTGAATATTAGTATAAGATTGAAGTTGGACAATAAAAGATCCAAGTAATTTTTTTAATAAAAAGAATCCATAATTTAATGCTCCCATTCTGACCTGATACAAAGAGTTCAGAGCAAGAAGAGATGATTCCTGGGACATGATTCCACTGGCATGATGAAGAAGTAAACTTTTTATCCAATGGAGGGCACATGCCAATACGGCGCCCATTCAATGTAATTCATGATTGGTTGAAACATATAATACTTCACCTCGATTGTGTTATAGATACAAGAGAATGTAAAAGCTTAAGAACATCAGATGGATTCAAGTGAGATACTGAATTTGCTATAACCTGAAAAAAAGGAAGAAAGTTGTCATATAAGCATTTTTGTCATAAATAAACATCCATCAATAAAAGACCCGTGGCCGTCAGTATAAAATGACCTTCTCATCTTGAGTGTATAAGCAATCTAACAGAAGTGCGTGATCATTAGCATGCAGCGCCTGCTTAAGCAGAATATTGACTGAATCTGCGGAGGGAGGCTTGCCAGGAGGAGAGGGTTCTCTTCTTTCTTGGATTTCATTGGTTTCAATTTTTCCATTTTCTATTAAATTTAAACTTACAAGTTTCTCAGCTATTGTAGGCTCATTCGGATCACCATTAACAAGAACTCCGCCTAAGTTCTCTCCCAGATCTATTCCAAAATCATAAATGAAATAAATTGCAAGACAAAAAGAAAAGAGGCGGGGCATATTCCACAACTATCACACAGATCTGATGCGTATTAAATCATACATAATATTCACACCTAGTAGGAATATCGCAATCAATGCTATGTAGTAAAAGATGCAAAAAAAAAGCATATAAAACATCATATTCTACTATTTTATTCTTCCTGTACAAAACTGATAAGCTGGGTTTTAAAGCAATTTTCTTCTCTCGAGCCATTAGCTCCTGTAAGAGAGAAGGGGAAGGGGAGGTAGCACACGAGTATTACTTAATGACAAAAATGAGGCATCTATGAATTGAATCATATTCAAAAATAATTCCCACTTGGAAGCAGAAACTTTGGAGAAACAAGAAACAAAAAAGGCATTCATGTGATCAGATATCAGACCCAAAGGCCAAATATAAATCCAGCAAGATGTAACAGCCCTCACCAGTATTATCTGTGCCTCTTTTAGCTGCAAGGTCGGGATCACGAGCCGCTCTTTTTTTATTTCGAATAGCCATGTAAATGAGAACTGAAAATAGTAGAATAGGAAGAAACCAGAAGAAAGAAAGAAAGGAGAAAAGGGGTCTGCAACGATCAGAAGACAGAAGCTGCGGGAAAAGAAGGGAGCGGGAATAGACAAGAAGGAAAGCAACTAGGGCAAAGGTTTATGGGCTGTTATAGAATGGGCCTTTTAGCTGCTAACAAAATAATTTAACAACCAATATTTAGGATATAAACTTACTTAATTATGGAAATATATGTAATAATAAAACAGTTTTTAAAAATATTATTTAATAATAGATATATCATGTATTCCTTGAGTAGTCTCGATGATAAAGTAAACATTAAAAAAAATTATTTTTATTAAAATATCAATATCACATTAAAGTAAGCATATTATTTATTAAATAAAGAGATGAAATTCACATAGTTATCTCAATTTTAATAACGGTAAAATATTATAAATATAATTTTTTTATTAATTTTTATTAAATAAAATAGAGTAAACTAAATATTAAGTATTTTAATTATCATTTTTGTTTTGTTTTAATTTTCTAAGATCATATATTAATGTTATATTTTAGTTTCATCTTGGTCGCGTATCGTTAAAAATTAACGTAACTACTACGTAGATCTTTTAAATATTATTTAATGATGATGTAGCATTTCCTTATGATGTCATGCCATTATTAACATTAACTTTTTAATGATAAATGATGAAAATATAACGCCATGTATGATTTGGGGAAAAAATAGCTAGGTGACTAAAAAAACAAAAATGATAATTGATGTACTAACTATAGTCTTACCATAAAATTAATTTTAGTATAATTTAATTTTGGGTAAACTACATGATTCATCATTTTCGTTTAAGTTTTGTATAATTTTTTATTGAATTCAAAAAAAAATGTTTGATCACTTTTAATTTTATTAATTAAGATATTATCATTAAAAATTAACTGTAGTTAAACTTTTAAGTTGCATAATGAATATATAAAGATAAAAAAATAAATTAAAAATATTTAAATAAATTTTGTTTTTCTCATAGCAAATTAAATACGGATCTAAGACTAAAATTTAACGTCCAACAAATCCCATCAAACACAGAAGAGTCATATCATTAACACACAAGGGTCTTCCCCATGTAGGTCGAATGAAGTTCATTTCCAAGATAAACAAATGCTTACAGTCCAACCAACATCAACAACAAAATCCATGTGGGTCTCAGCTAATACACCACCGTTTTTGAAGCGGGAATATACAAAATCCATGTCGTTCCACAGTGATTTCAGACCATGAAAACACTGTCTCATGCTCTAGTCTGGAAAACCCAGATTAGTCTAAACACCAAAATAAATGCTGTAATCACAACAAAAAGAGGCTTTAACAATGTTGATTTAAAACATAACATAGCTTCTTAGTACAATAGGCTAACCTTAAGGGTGTTAGTTCACGGAATGTAAGATTACCAGTGAGAATGTAAGATTATCAGGGAATAGATTACTGGGAATGTTGTATTTTGTGTTTGGTTGATTTAACAAGAATGTAAGATTACCGTGTTTGGTTAAAGAAATAAAAGATTATTGGAATGTATATTTGACCAAATTGTCCTTATTATATATTTATTTTTTAACAAGTTAAAAAATATTTATAGATTTTAATTATAGATTTTTTTTGTAAATATAAAATAGTTTAAGGATAAATTTGTAATTTAACATTCATAGAATTTTTATTATTCAATAACAGAATAATAATATATTTGAAGAAAAAAAATTAAGGGCATTTAGTCTAAAATGTCGGTAATCCAACAATGCCTAAGGAAAGGGAGGTAATGACATTCCCAGTAATATACCAAAAAAATCTACTATTGATAATAAGACATTACTGGAAATGAGATTCCCGGCCAATCAAACATGGAATGTGAATTTCATTCACATGAAAATCTCACATTCCTTGAACCAAACATTCCCTAAGGTTAAATGCATACGACAGTATAATATAATTTCAAGAAACTATACCTGTCGTAACCGTCTTTCGGTTGGGCTCGAAATTGGGCTTCGACTTGAAAAATGAGAGTTGGGGTCGCCACCGATCATTTATTTTAAAACAAATGGGTTGACCGGATACCTTATTTCTTACCTGATCTGCGTCGTACCATAAATGTATCGGGTTCGGGAGTCGGTTACAGTCAAGGAAGGATTAGCACCCTTGAACCACCCTTTCGGTACCAATTAATTTGTCGATTGTCTTTAATTGCGAAAATTAAAAAATTAAATTAAAATTTAAAACTTGATTTGAATTGCTTACCTCTAATCGATTAAAAATATCTCTAAAAAGTAAAAAATGTTAGAAATAATAATAATAATAAAATAATAATTTACAACGACAAGAACTATAATCATTTAAACCAAATGTGAAGCAAATCAAGCAACAAAGTGTAGTTATCTTCTTCATTCAATAAAACCCTGAAATCAAAAGTTCAAAATTTGATAATGTACTGATTTAAGATGTTAGTCTAACAAGAATAGAGACGGTATTTTACCTATAGGAACAAATGAACAAGATAAACAACATTGGAAATAAATCATACGGGGAGAACATTAAGTTGATAACAATATTCTGATAAAAATGATGTTTACCTTTTACACTAATTTCACCCCATTAAAGAATATCTCTTGTTCATCGACAGCCACAAGGGTTTTTCCGTTTCTTTCTGTATTAACAAGCCATCTCAAAGCTTCTTCATCCTCCAAAAATTGTGGATCCGCTACTGGTACAATCCCTAACCCGAATATTAACCATGCAGCTTCTTCTAGCGGCCGTCAAATCATGGCAATCTACTTAATGATGAAGGTTGTGGATTAGAAATGAGAAGCAACAACCAAAACCAAGGGATTGTAAGAAGTAATGAGGAAGATGACGAGAATATAAGCTGCTGCAACGATGATGTCTTCTATTCCTTTCTGCACTCATTGATAAACGAAGATGCTTTCACCAACCAGAATCCCATGCTGCAACTGACCAATGGAGTTGCACAAGTCGATCATGCATTGGTTTCAATCACAGCATCAAGTTCTTTAGTAACATAGATTTGAGAGAAGCTCTTTCTCCACTGTGTTTGGATTTTTTGTTGACTCCGTTGGCTACTGTTTTGAAAGGGTGATGATTAGCAGAGTGTTTTGAGCTTTCCTCTCCATTTTTTCCCCATGAAATGCCTCCCCCTGCTGTTGTGCTCCACGATCTGTTATATACTGGATCCCACGTAACTGCTCCACGTACAAGGCGGTGGCACCTTCAGCAACATTCCCAAAAACAAGGCTTGAATCATCCATTATGTTGCAAAGAACTGAATTTCCGGAGAATATGGGTGGTGCGCACGTTACAGAGAGTCCATGTTCGGTTGAATTTATTGGGGGTTACAAAAAAATAAATAAATAAATAAAATATATAATATAATTTTTTGTAGACCCAGACAAAAATGAGTGTATACAGCTGCCCCTCTTTATTCTTTTTCATGGAACGAAAAATAGGAAAAAGATAAAAAAAGACACAAATTTTCGTCCAGTAGAGTTGAAGAATAACTCCCTGTCAATTTTGAGTTGCGGATGGCTCATCCGTCGCGAAGTTAAGTCCATCTTGAAATGATATAGAATTGAAACCGTAGTTCGAAATTTGAATCGGAATGTGGCTTCTTGTCGTAGTCTGCTTCGGTCTTTTTCTCGGTTTAAAGACATTGGTTTGAAAATTCGACTGAAAATAATTCTTCCACCGTGTGGTTGATAGGTCCTCGAGCTGAATGAAATCGAACTCGAAAGGTATTCGTTGACATATAGCTTTTCTCGACTTAAGCTATGCTATCGGAAAGCGGTTTCTTACCACTAAGGCACGGCTAACCCAAGTATTATTCTCGACTTGAAAGCCTCGATTGCAGCCGGACAGTAGTGAATGATGTATTATCGAGCTGAATGAATCGAACTCAATAATTTTATTGACATATAACGCTTTTTGCTTTGGGCAATGTTGTAAATGATGTGCCTTGAGCTGAGCGTAGTCGAACTCGAAGGTCTTTGGTGACAGATAACCCTTCTAGCCTTGAGTTATGTTGTAAATGATATGCCCTCGAAGCTGAGTGTAATCGAACTCGGGGGTCTTTGGCAGATAGCCCTTCTCGACTTAAGCTATGCTGCAAATGATGTGCCTTGGAGCTGAACGTTGTCGAACTCGAATGTCTTTTGGTGACAGATAACCCTTCTAGCCTTGAGTTATGCTATAAATGATGTGCCTTAGAGTTGAGCCTAGTCAAACTCGAAGGTCTTTGGTTGGCAGATAACCCTTCTCGACTTAAGTTATGCTGTAAATGGCGCGCCCTCGAAGCTGAGTGTAGTCGAACTCGGGGATCTTTGGCAAATAGCCCTTCTCGAATTAAGCTATGTTGTAAATGATGTGCCGTTGAGCTGAGCGTAGTCGAACTCAAAGGTCTTGTGTTGACAGACAACCCTTCTAGACTTAAGTTGTGCTACAAATGATATGCCTTGGAGCTGAGCGTAGTCGAACTCGAAGGTCTTTGGTGACAGATAACCCTTTTAGCCTTGAGTTATGCTGTAAATGATATGTCCTCGAAGCTGGGTGTAATCGAACTCAAAGGTCTTTTGTTAGCAGATAACCCTTATCGACTTAAGTTATACTGCAAATGTTGTCTTAAAAAAATGGCTCCCCTTCACAGGTCTAAGCTGGTCGTAGTTCTTCAGGTGTTCTCCTGAGCGAGTCTGAACCAAATATGATTTTTGGATGATTCCCCTTCACAGGAAAGCCCACAGATAAATTCTGTCAGCCAGATATCTTTCGTCGTTGAATTGAAATCTGGCTTGAAAGTATTAACTGAAAACATGTTGCTCATGGTGTGTTTGAGCCGAACTGGATTTGATTTGAATTGGTTCTTGAACCTATCTGAAATTGGTTCTGAGATGTCAAGTCGGTTGAGGTGTAGCTTCTTACTGTCGAGTTAAGCAACCACCATCCTTCTTTGAAGGCGCTTGAGAATCGAGTATCCTTCATCATTAAGTCAAAATTTGACTCTAAAAGCTGCAAAAAAACGTATATGCTAAAATGGTGAATGTGATGCACCTAAGTATGTCTAAGATGCATGCAATATGAATGAATTATGTGTTATCTCCTGGATGGAGTCTCGTGCTTTGTCTGCCAATCTGGTCTATGGAATCGATCGTGCCCCATCATTTTTCAAGCTTGGGCTTTACAGACCCTTCATATCTGAGACTGTTCTGATTGAAAATGTTTTTCTCATTTTTTCTTATTTTAAGAGGGAAAATTGACAACTGTCGTTTTCGATGTCAAAATAATTCCTTATTCTTAATAAATAAATAAAGGAAATACGTAGTATAGAGAAATAAGGGTCGAATTCTCAAGGACTTAGAAAATCATAATTTAATGTTTGAATGGTTCTAACCAGGCGAAAATAGTAAAAAGGAGGTTTGTAATATGATATTAAAATAGTAAAAATAAATAAAAACAATTTAAATAAAAATAAGAGTATGAAGATTGTGAATAAATACGGTAAAAGTAGCCTCAAGCTTCGCTTTGATTCAATTTCCTTTAGATCATCGAATAAGATTTTCCCTTCGGGATTCACGTCGGTTACTTTGTCTACAAGGGCTATCCTTGTGACTCTATCTTGTATATTGAATACCCAAGGCAATCTTTGATTCCGGCTTCGATAATTGATTCTAACAACATCTATTGTCGTAGATCAAATACAATTTAAGTTCGTGGTGACCAACTCGGATTGTTGTTTCTATAATCGTCAATTCCAATCTCAATTCCCTCTTGGCGAAGCTATCTCGCCAAGTGTGTTCCCATGAAGTCGAATTGCTTTCTATAAGCCGAATCTTCCTCCCACACGTTTAATCGCAACAACCTCTTGACCAAAGTCAATCTTTTATTTTGAAAATTGTTTTGATTTTTGAAAAATAAGCGCAGAGATTGAGAGAGATATTCCGAAGATATTAAAGGACTGTTTCAATTTTCCCGTTGGAATTGAATAATCGCGACAGCTCTCGGCTTATGAAAAGTTTAGCTAAGCATGACAAAAGTCATACTTAGCATAAAAATAAAACTTTAAAATAAAGAAAAATAAAAAGAACTTGAAAAGGAAAAGAGAAAACTTTTATAAGAACTAGAGAGAAAAGAAGAATGTATTTCGAATGATGTTTTTAGGCTTACCCCAAGTGGGTATTTATAGCCTCTCAAAGCCTAAAGGATAAACAAAGAAAATAATAAAATAATACAAAAGATAATTGTTTTAATTTAAATTCAAACTTAAACTAGTCTTCTAATGCAACTCTGCTCGTCAATCTTCCAGAAGGCGTGAGGACGAAGTTTTCTAGAAACCGTCGCTGACTGGACTTTCTAGAAACTGCCACGTCAGACTGCGTCATGCCCAGAGTCGTGCCCATGTCTCCAGTCGTGACCAAATAATAAAAAAAATGCAGAATTCGCTCGTTTTGTCACAAATTCTGGAAAAGCAAGGACTTGTACAAAAACAAGCACAACAAGACCAATTAAGCAGCGATAACTCCACAAAATCGAAGAAATAACGAATAAAGATTAACGATTCTGAACACTCATCAAATTCCCCCTCACTTATCTCATGCTTGTCCTCAATTATGATTAACCAAATCAGTCAAAAACTTCATTAAATGTTCTTTGTCAAGTTTCATATTCAAGGAAGAAATGTAGAGACCACAATAACTATTCAAGTCAAGAAATCAATCAATTGAACATCACCAATTGGAACAAGTCAAGTGCAATTGTAATGTCCATTCATTCATTAATCTCAATGCTCATAACTCAACACCTTACTGGGATTCACTCAAATCACTCAATGTGTTTGAGGGTAAAGAAACGCTCAATGTCAGAATCGATACGATATTACCATAAGCCTGCAAGTAAATCAAATCTTCACTACTAATAAGAACAAGATGCATAAATCAAAGGGTCTTTTATTGGTTGTAACGGGGCTTAGGTAAAGGTGGGGAAAAGGCTAAATAATATATGGCTAAAAATTCAAGGCAAGGAACTAACAAATAATAATCTCAACTCCATCAAAACATTAAGCACAATAAGATAAAAAGACGATATATCAAACAACAAATTTCTTTTCGAAATGAATTTTTTTCATTTTCACACTTTGCTGTTTTGTTTTCTATTTCTTTTCCATGTCTTTTTTCTTTTTCTTTCGAACAGTCCCATTTTTTTTATTTCTTTTTTCTTTTTTCTGTTCGAACTGTTGTTTTTTCGCATTCAACCTTTTTTTTCGATGGAGCATACAATGGTAAAATTATTCACTTGCCCTGAAAAAGATAGAAAAGAGGATAAAAAAGGCTCGGGGTTTCTAAATATGGTGGAATAAAAACGGAAAAAAGGCTCAAAAGTGGTTAACTAAGGGAAAAAATGCATGGATAGACTATTTAGTGGGGAAACTGAATGGTTAATCCTAAAGTGCCCAAATCATCTTTAAGCATCATGCTCATGTGTAATCTCGACAGTACTTAACATGTAGGTTCTAGAATATCAATGCCAAATTCGACACACTCAATCAAACAAAATGAGAGCGAAAATGATATGCTCGTAAATGCTCAAATCTCACCAAATTGTTTCATGCATTGAGCTAATCACATTTCAACCAAAAAAAGTATGGAATATCACAAAAACACCAACTTATCACAATTCATGTTATTCGCTATCAAGAACATCCTAACCTAAACAATTATGTGTTCCCAAACAAGCATAGCATTCCAAAAAAATTTCAACAAGACATAAATTCAGTGAAGTTTCCGCAAATTCAACCAACATATACTTGAATCAAAACATAAAGATAATCAAAGGGAAATTCAATCCTACACTCTACTCTACTCCCCCTCACTTAAAGCGTTTTGCCTCAAAACGAAAAAAAAAATTAAAGTGCAAGAGAAGGACTAGAGTACTCCCTGGATTTAATGTCGACCGGTCTCCTTAGAAGTGTGCTAACGTGCGCCGTTACATGCTCCTAAGGGTAGAATTTGGCATTGTTCAGACAATAATCTCTCAATTCTTCGTTGTTTAAGTTTGAAACTCCTGCAAAATTAAATAAAATATGCTTAATCGAAAAAAAATAAAGTAAAAAAATTAAAATATAACGGAATTGAAAACAATGGGTTGCCTCCCATGAAGCGCTTTATTTAACGTCATTAGCTCGATGACCTGGTTCAGACTATAAGTTTCATGACAAACACTTCCACTTCATTCGCTTTTTCCAACTAAGAAATTCCTTATGAGAAATTTGAAAATTCTCACAAAGATTTCTTCGGATATTTCCCAATTTTAAAATCTTGTCCAGAAGAATTACTGTCAAAACATCTTTTTTTACCAAAAAAATGATTTTTTTTAAATGTCTCCTTGATGATTTGACTTAATTTTTGGTGCCTGCAAAAAGGAAGGTAAATCTTTAGTTTTTAAAGAAGTTAAGATCAAATTTGAATCAACAACTGAAACATTTTTCAACTCCCTTATGTCGTCTTTTTTATCATCCGATTCCTTGCATAATTCATCAACCAAGTTAGATTTACCATCAGCAAGTTCAAAAATGCCAACAAAATTAATACTATGAACGTTATCCGAATATCTCATTGCTTTATAAACATCAAATTTTAAGATCTTACCGTCGAACTCCATAGTAAGAATACCGCTTCGAACATCAATTTTTGCATTTGTCGTGCTCAGAAAGGGACGATCGAGGAGGATTTCAAAACCAATGTTGCTACGATCATTTTTCATATCAATCACATAAAAATCAGTAGGGTAAGTTAAATTTTCTACCTCTACTAGAACATTCTCTATGAGTCATTCAGGATAAATAATTGATTTGTCGGCTAGCTGAAGTGTAACTCTCGTCTCCTTTAAAGGTTTGGTGGAAATTAAATTATAGACGGAGAGAGGCATTACATTGATAGAGGCACCTAGATCGCACATAGCTCGCTTGATTTTAACCTCACCAATTTTACAAGGTATTAAAAACATACATTGGTCTTTATACTTCGGTGGAAGCGGTCGTTGGAAAATTGCTGAGACGTTCGCGCCTAAATCCACTTTCTCGACCCCGGTAAGCTTCCTTTTAGTCGTATAGAGATCCTTCAGAAACCGATAATACCTTGGAACTTTCCGGATAACTTCGAGGAGAGGTATGTTAACTTCCACCTTCCGAAGTACGTCTAATATTTCATTTTTCTCATCTTTTTTATCCTTTTTAGCTAACCTTGATGGAAAAGGCGGTGGCCCGTCGTAGGGAGATGGCTTCGGATCGTCCATTTGTTCTTCATTGTTCTCTTTCTGGGATCCTATGTCAACTGCTTCTTCTTCCCTTTGGGAGTTCGAATCTTCTTCTTTATTCCGGGATCTTGCGCTCACTTCCTTTGGGTCTGGCTGTTCAACAATTGTACCGTTTTGGAGGGTGATGGCGCTAATATTCCCTATTGGATTCGATTCAGTTTGTTATGGTAGCCTCCTTTGTGACTCTAATCTCCCTACGGTTTGAGCCAGTTGGCTCAATTGCTTGTCCATCTCTTGGAAGTGGGCTAAAGTTCGAGTCTGGAATTTCTCTTGGGATAGTGCTAACCTCTCGATAATCGATTCTAATGATGACTTCTACGATTGTTGCGGTGGTGGAGGTCTCGCTTGATAGCCTTGGTTCGGTCTCGGGTTCTGCGTATAACTGAAGTTCGAATTATCCCTCCATTCTGGGTTGTATGTATTACCATAAGGATTATAAGCTCTTTGGGGAGGTCCCGGAAAGTTTCTGACTGCTTTGACTTGAGTTGTTGCGTCGTCTTGAATCAATGGACAACCGTCTGTTGGATGATCAGGTAGTGCACATATTCCACATAATCGGTTTTGTCATGTCTTTCTTTCTTACAACAAGAGAGTTTACAACTTCAGTTAACTTGTCTATTTTATTTTCTAAGAAATATGAACTTATCTCATGAACCCTTCAAGAAGGTTCATTATTTGCGCGGAACTGTTGGGAATTTATAGTCATCGTCGATATTAAGTCTCTTGCCTCAGTAGGAGTCATATTCATCAAGGCTCCACCACTGGCTGCATCGATCATCTTCATTTCCAGGGGAGATAATCCTTCATAAAAGTATTGAAGGAGTGTTCGGTTAACCCATGTTGTGGGCAACTAGAACATAACTTCTTAAAACGCTCCCAGTAGTCGTAAAATGACTTTCCATCAAGCTGCTTGATTCCAAGTATTCTCCTTCGTAGTTCACTTACTTTTACCGCAGGGAAAAACCTGTCAAGAAAACAACGAGTCATTTGAGCCCATGTAGTTACAGAATTAGGAGGAAGATAAAATAACCACTCTTTAGCCGAATCGGCTAAGGAAAAAGGAAAAGCTCTAAGTTTGATTTGGTCATCGGTTACTCCCTGTGGTGTCATGCTAGAGCAGACCATGTGAAATTCCTTGAGATATTGGTGTGGATTCTCGTTTGGCAATCCACAAAATGTAGGGAAGAGATGAATAAGGCCGGTTTTTAACTGGTATGGAGTTTCACATTGGGGAAAATTAATGCACATAAGTCATTGTTCAGTGGGTGCCCGGGCTAACTCCCGAATAGTAGGTTCGGCCATCGGAATTGTATTAGCGAATTCACCTGAGTTTGATTCTTCTTCTGGATTTGTTTGTTGTCTCATTCTTTCCCGAAGTGTTTGTGCGTGGAGTCTCCTAGCTTCAGCTTCGATCTCCGGGTTGTACTCCACTAATGTGCCCGGATTAGTCCTGGTCATAAATCAAAAGCAAACAAAAAAATTAGTAACTTTGGCGAAGTCCTCGGCAACGGCGCCAATTTGACAACTGTCGTTTTCGATGTCAAAATAATTCCTTATTCCCAATCAATAAATAAAGGAAATACGTAGTATAGAGAAATAAGGGTCGAATCCTCAGGGACTTAGAAAATCACAATTTAATGTTTGAATGGTTCTAACCAGACGAAAATAGTAAAAAAGGGGTTTGTAATATGAGATTAAAATAGTAAAAATAAATAAAAACAATTTAAATAAAAATAAGAGCATGAAGATTGTGAATAAATACGGTAAAAGTAGCCTCAAGCTTTGCTTTGATTCAATTTCCTTTAGATCATCGAATAAGATTTTCTCTTCGGGATTCACGTCGGTTACTTTGTCTACAAGGGCTATCTTTGTGACTCTATCTTGTATACCGAATACCCAAGGCAATCTTTGATTCCGGCTTTGGTAATTGATTCTAACAACATCTATTGTCGTAGATCAAATACCGTTTAAGTTCGTGGCGACCAACTCGATTGTTGTTTCTATAACAATTCCGATTATCAATTCCCTTGGCGAAGCTATCTCGCCAAGTGTGTTCACAGGAAGTCGAATTGCTTTCTATAAGCCGAATCTTCCTCCCACACGTTTAATCGCAACAACCTCTTGACCAAAGTCAATCTTTGATTTTAAAAACTATTTTGATTTTTGAAAAAGAAGCACAGAGATTGAGAGAGATATTCCGAAGATATTAAGGGGCCGTTTTAATTCTCCCGTTGGAATTGAATCATCGCGACAGCTCTCGGCTTATGCAAAGTTTAGCTAAGCATGACAAAAGTCATACTTAGCATAAAAATAAAACTTGAAAATAAAGAAAAATAAAAAGAACTTGAAAAGGAAAAGAGAAAACTTTTATAAAAACTAGAGAGAAAATAATAATGTATTCCGAATGATGTTTTTAGGCTTACCCCAAGCGGGTATTTATAGCCTCTCAAAGCCTAAAGGATAAACAAAGAAAATAATAAAATAATACAAAATATAATTGTTTTAATTTAAATTCAAACTTAAACTAGTCTCATAATGCAGCTCTGCTCGTCAATCTTCCAGAAGGCGTGCGGACGAAGTCTTCTCTAGAAACCGTCGCTGACTGAACCTTCTAGAAACTGCCACGTCAGACCGCGTCGTGCCCATGTCTCCAGCCGTGACCAAATAATAAAAAAAATGTAGAATTTGCTCGTTTTGTCACAAATTCTGAAAAGCAATGACCTGTACAAAAACAAGCACAACACGACCAATTAAGCAGCAATAACTCCACAAAATCGAAGAAATAACGAAAAAAGATTAACGATTCTGAACACTCATAAAAAATGATAAAAATGCTATTAAAATATTGTTCGCAATTGAATCAAATTGTAAACGTGAGTTCAAAGAATATCAAAGGAATCAAGAGCTCTTTTAAAGCTTTCAGAGTTACAGCTCTTTGACAAATGTTCAAATGGATGAGTTGGTTTTAGGTTGGCCTCCTTTCTTAGGTTTTGTTAACCCAAAATGTCATTTTTTTTAAATATCACAACATGCTTTGGTATTTCAATTGGGTGCGAAAAAAATGACGCAACTAGCATGATCAATTACTAGATCTTTTATTTCGGTCCTCTGAAATCTTCCGTTTGTTCAAGTTTTGTAGGCTCATCTAACAAAGGCAGTGCAAAAATATCGGTCTGAAAATGAAATTATTGAGTGCTCGTGTGAATTTGACTAGAACAGGTGTTCCTAAACTTCCTTAGTCCATCATTACCAAAAATTTCTTACTTGGATAAATTTGATTTAACTTGTCGTTATCTGGCTAACTGAATCCATAAAGCCAGGGCATTTAACCAATTGCTTTAGAGGGACAACTTAACATTATAATCAGTTTTATCAAGTTCACTGAAGGGTTCATCTCATCACAAAGTCTTCGGCCGGACAATAGCAGTGGAGCAAACACCGAATTACCAAGTGTTCGAGCAATGTCATGGTTTGAACGTAATCTATTCATAAGGCCAGGGCTTTCAAGTTACCTCTATATAACCAATTGCCTTAGTGGAATAGCTCAGCTTTGCGGATTTAATTTCTTAAGATTGTCAAGAAGAACCTGTTATAGTCTAGGTGTTGTTGAAAGTAAAAAATTTCATCTTTAGAGTTTAATTTTCAAGCAACTGACCTAAATTCACTTACTCGACTATTCCATCTGTAAAGATAATGATCATCATTGAACGTCTTAAACAAAAAGTATAGTAATTGTCATATGCAAATGATGCCCCATGTTGTCCGCACCTTATGAAATGAAAATGTTACATTGGTTAATTGCAAGAGCAGTGTACGCTGTTTGAGTGTATATTCTGGGTAAGGTAAGAAGTCCTTGTTTTAAATCATGTTACTTTGTCAAAGATCTGTAACTCTGAACCATTTATAGAGTTTTTTAATTCAAATGATATTCAAAGAATTACAAATTTGCAAATTTGATTCATTACTTAACATCTTTAAAGTAACATAAATTGATTCAAATGTTCTTACAAAAACTTGAGAAAAAGTGAAAAAAAAACAAGTTCAAACAGAATACCTCAAATGATGAAATGATATTCCTCACTTAGATGCCCCCAATTTGTTGAAGTCGATCCAGTTCTGGTTACACATCTTCTGTACGACTCTTTTGAATGCGTAATAGTTCTCAATTATGTGCCTTGGGACACCGACGTGATATTCACAATGTTCATTCTCATCATACCACTTGGGGTATGAGGGCTTCATGGGTTTCACCGGGTATGGTGACACTACATGGGTGTCAAGAAGTTGATGGTAAAACTCTTTGTAGGTTATGAGAATAGGGTCGAAATATTCCCTTTCCCTCATTGGTTCTTTGGAATCTTGTTTAGAAGTACCTGACGGTACAGCTGTAGTTAATTTCGGTTTGGAGATCGTAACACCTTTACTGGTATGGTTGATGTTGTTAATCTTTCCATCCCGCTCTTGCATAGGAGGTTTCCTACTGGCCTCCCCATCCTTAATTTTGCCTTGTTTTATGGCCGACTTAATCATTTCTCCGGCCATAACCAAGTCTGAAAAGCTTCCTGATGTGATCGCAACCAGGTGCCCGAAGTATGGAGCCTTCAGGGTCTACACGAAGAGCTTTCGGGTTTTCTTTTCATCCAACGGTAGATGAACTTGCACAGCCAAATCCCTCCATTTTTGTGCGTATTGCCTGAAACTCTCGTTATGCTTCTTTTCCATGCTTTGTAGCATAACTAGATCTGACCTTATGTCATTGATATGCTTGTATTATTCCAGAAATGACTTGGCCAGGTCCTTCCAGGTCTTGATATTTGATTGGCTTAACTGGTTGTACCACCGAATGGTTGAGCCGACAGACTCTCCTGGATGCAGTGGATCAGGAGTTAGTCGTTTCTCCATATCCTGTCATCTTTCGGCAGAACATGGTGATGAGCGGATGGACAACTGTCCCGTCAAACTTCTTGAATTCCGAGGACTTAAATTTCGGAGGAATAACCAAGTCCGGGACTAGACTAGTTCCGCGACATCGATTTCATGGTAGTCATGGTCTCCTTTGACTACCTTCATTTGGTCTTCCAATTGTTTTATTTTTTCCTCCATCTTCCTCGTTTTCATCTTCGTCCAAATCCGGTACATGGTAATAACTCGGGTTGTTCTTAGGGTTAAATACAGAGGACGAGGGCTTCGTTTTGCAGCAGATGAGTCCCCTCGAAGTTCTGGTAAGATTTCAGGTGAGATAACCACTTGTGGGGTAGGTTATATAGTTACCCCTTCTGGTGAACCTGCCCTAGGCGCACTGGTCTGTTGTAGGCCAACTAACTTGGCAACGATCTGATCAACCAAGGACTCTTGATTCTTTGTGATTGTTTCCAGAGTATTCGACTGCTCTGGTTTATCTTGTCTTCTAGCTCTTTCTGTAGTTTCAACATATTCTCCTCGATTTGTGTAATTCTGGCTTCAATCATCTTCTTCTTCAAACGGGTGTTATGCGGATGGTGTGTCCAACGCTTGAGGCGGTGTATCCAGTATTTGCTCCTTTTGATGAGAAATGTGAATGCAAAGAAAATAACAAAATGCCAAATGTCTAAATGCATGATGCATGATGCATGAAATGTCGAGGCATTGATCCAAAAAATGTGTCTGTTATGTTAATAACCATTATTGGGGACAAAAGTGTTTTATCTTTTAAGAGACAAAAAATATTTTGACAGCTTCTGACATGTTGACTAGTCTTCCGCCTTCATCCGTCACCAGTTGAATAACCTGTCGAACCGATCTGGCTTCTCTGGATGAACCGTGCAAATGACGAGTTGTTTGCCCCAAGAAAATCTCAAAGGACTGCACCTCCGATTTATCTTTTGTTGAGCATGTTCCCAATGATTAAATCATTGGAGCCCTTAATTGATAGGAACTATGTGAAGTCCATTTGTCTGTTTCTTGAATTCATCAGCAATGGTCTCAAATTTCAGTTATCGTTTTGCCATTGTCGTCTTTGAAGTGACTCCTAAGATCAGTGGTCTTCATCTTACCCCTGCAACTTCTGCCAGTCAGTTCTTCAAAGATAGACTTTCATTGTGCTTAATGTAGACCCCGTTCATTGAGTCCTTTATAATGCAGTATAGTGATATACTCTTCAATTGCGGGCACCACGTCTTCTGGATTAAATGTGACACATAGTCTCCTTGTAGACTGTCCTCTGCATTTTCATCTCTTGTATTATAACCCCTTTGTCCATTAATGCAGATTATTCATGTTTAGCAAACACGCTTTTGGTGGATCAACACCTCTTTTAAATGGTGCAAGTGATGAAAATAAAATGAAAGAGGAAAAAAAGAGTTAGTGAGGTAAAAATAATAAAAAATAATCATGAAAAATAAAAGTCCTACCCCATATGATATCTACCCGAACATGCTTAATATTCTTACTCGGACATGATTTTTATCCCGTATGCTAATTTCAAACAAATCCTAACCGCATATTTGTCTAGTTCGCATGCTTTGAACAGAAAATAAAGCATGAAACAAAACATCCTAGAGTTTGGAATGAGGTTTTGGGGTGGGCTCTAATTCCCTGTACTCTCCCGGTTTAGGTTCTAAATAAACGGTACTCGAGTTCTCCTTGTCGGTGCCCTCTTGGGCTTGCCAAACCCTTAGTCCTAAACCCATCACAGGCTTGTGTGAACTAAGTTAAACTCGAGAGGACACATTCCCTTATGCCCATACGGAGAATAAATTCACACGAAGGCATAAGGTATATGAATCCCGAAGGTTACTTGCTAGGCCCATACGGAATAAATTCACACGAAGGCATCACTTTCACCCTCACTTAAAAGGGTTCGGAGCTCGGGTATAGAGCTAGAGATGACAATTTTGAAAAATCTGAAATCATTAAAAAAAGTTAGTACAACTATTTACTTGAAAAATAATCAAAGGTAAATAATTAGAATTGAATAAATAAATTTAAATTTAAATTTATAACTTTCGCTAAAAAAGATAACCGAAAATTAATTTCGCCGGACTCACTTATCTGTCCCCAGTGGAGTCGCCAAGCTGTCGTAACCGTCTTTCGGTTGGGCCCGGAATTGGCTTCGACTTGAAAAATGAGAGTTGAGGTCGTCACTGATCATTTATTTTAAAACAAATGGGTTGATCGGATACCTTATTTCTTACCTAATCTGCGTCGTACCAGAAATGTATCGGGTTCAGGAGTCGGTTACAGTCAATGAAGGATTAGCACCCTTAAACCGCCCTTTCGGTACCAATTAATTTGTCGATTGTCTTTAATTGCGAAAATTAAAAAATTAAATTAAAATTTAAAACTTGATTTGAATTGCTTACCTCTGATCGATTAAAAATATCTCTAAAAAGTAAAAAATGTTAGAAATAATAATAATAATAATAATAATAATAATAAAATAATTTACAACGACAAGAACTATAATCATTTAAACCAAATGTGAAGCAAATCAAGCAACAGAGTGTAGTTATCTTCTTCATTCAATAAAACTCTGAAATCAAAAGTTCAAAATTTAATAGCTTACTGATTTAAGATGTTAGTCTAACAAGAATAAAGACGGTATTTTACCTATATGAACAAATGAACAAGATAGACAACATTGGAAATAAATCATACGGGGAGAACATTAAGTTGATAACAATATTCTGATAAAAATGACGTTTACCTTTTATACTAATTTCACCCCATTAAAGAATATTTCTTGTTCATCGACAGCCACAAGGGTTTTTCCGTTTCTTTATGTATTAGCAAGCCATCTCAAAGCTTCTTCATCCTCCAAAAATCGTGGCTCCGCTACTTGTACAATCCCTAACCCGAATATTAACCATGCAGCTTCTTCTAGCGGCGGTCAAATCATGGCAATCTGCTTAATGATGAAGGTTGTGGATTAGAAATGAGAAGCAACAACCAAAACCAAGGGATTGTAAGAAGCAATGAGGAAGATGACGAGAATATAAATTGCTGCAACGATGATGTCTTCTCTTCCTTTCTGCACTCATTGATAAACGAATATGCTTTCACCAACCAGAATCCCATGCTGCAGCTGACCAATGGAGTTGCACAAGCCGATCATGCATTGGTTTCAATCTCAGCATCAAGTTCTTTAGTAACATAGATTTGAGAGAAGCTCTTTCTCCACTGTGTTTGGATTTTTTGTTGACTCCGTTAGCTACTGTTTTGAAAGGGTGATGATTAGCAAAGTGTTTTGAGCTTTCTTCTCCATTTTTTCCCCACGAAATGCCTCCCCTGCTTTTGTGCTCCACGATCTGTTATATATTGGATCCCACGTAACTGCTCCACGTACAGGCGGTGGCACCTTCAGCAACCTTCCCAAAAACAAGTCTTGAATCATCCATTCTGTTGCAAAGAACTGAATTTCCAGAGAATATGGGTGGTGCGCACCTTAGAGAGAGTCCATGTTCGGTTGAATTTGTTGGGGTTGCAAAAAAATAATAATAATAAATAATAATAATAATAAATAAATAAATAAATAAAATATATAATATAATATTTTTTTAGACTCGGATAAAATTGAGTGTCTACGCTATCAAAAAATCCTTGTCAAGTAAGCCCTCTTCTTCATTTCCTCGGCTTATGCTCTGTTCGTCGTGGTGTAGTGCAACTCGTGCGGCGACGGTGGGACTCGTCGTTCTGCTACCCCTTTTGACGGTTTCCCGGAACTCACTTTCTTGCCAATATTGTTGTTCTGTATCGGTTCAAAATCATTCTCGAACATATTAGAAGGTCTCGGTCAAGTCAATTTATTACTTTGAAATCTGGGTGGCAATAACGATAAATTATTTAAATATTAATGGTTATTTGTATAGTTTATACCTTTAAATTCTATATATTCACTTGATTAAAAGTCTAACGGTAATTGATCCTAATGATCATGTCTTAATTTTTTTAGAATATCAAAACTTAATTAAATAAAATTAAAAAATAGAAAATAAAATATTTTTTAAATTTAATAAAGAAAATATCTAAAATTTAAACAAAAATAATCAATAACTTCATTTTTCAATTGATTTTTTAGCTCAAATTTGAAAGTTAATCGAATTTTAATAATATAAAAAAAGGATGTTTTCACCAGAAACGGACGGAAAATGAAACTTTCTAAATTAAAGCCGGGGAAAAGCCTAACAAAACTTTGTGGGTAAATTATGTATTTAGTACTTAAACTATCAAATTTGAGTTGTTTTAATATTTAAACTTTTAATTTTTTTAAAAATTATAACAAACGCTTATTTTTTGTTTCATTTTAGCATCCCGCCGTTAAAAACTTAACGGTGATTTGCACATGATACTTTTTTATGGGTAAATTGCATCATACATTACTCAATTATCTTTTCACTCCTAGTTTAGTCCCTAAATTTTAAAATATTTAATTTAATTATTTAACTTTCAAATTAATCTTAATTTAATCACCCAAACTTTTAAATTTATTTTTTTATTTTTAATTATATATTAATAAAATAATAATTAAAAAGGTTGTGTCATAAAAGTTATTAAAAAAATAAATTAAAGTGATTAAAATATGAACAATTTGAAAGTTGAGTACATAATTTGAAAATTTTTAAACTTAAGTACAAAAATAGGAGTGATAAAATAGTTGAGTGATGAATGATATAATTTACCCATAAAAGAATGTTGTTGAATTTTTAGCTTGAAATACTAAAATAAAACAAAAATGAAATATTATGTATAATTTAAAAAATAAAATTTTTAACATTAAAATAGATAAAAATCGATAGTTTAGATACTAAACATATAATTTATCGGAATTTAAAATCAAAATGGAAAAATGAAACACTAAAAATGTCCAGAAAAGGACATCTTTGGTCTGGGACTTTTAAGTACATTCACGTATCTCTCCCAAGTCCCAACAAGACGATATCGATATGTTTTTACATTTTATTATTGCGTCTTAAAATAATAAAATGTAAAAACAGAAAAGTCTCTCTGCCGCACTGTTTTCTTTAAATTAACTTATTTTCCATCAAAACGCTCCCTTCAACACACACACACAAAAAAGGTTCAACTCTCCTGTTTCCGGAAAACTCAGGTACGTTCGAACCCTAAGCATGATCTATAATCTAATTTTTAACGAAAAATAGCTATGGCTCCTGTAGATTTCATTGATTGCATCTGGGTTTATAATTGGTTTACTTGTGCTGTTTTCTTTTTATTTTTTGACATTTGACCGGGACATGAGGTAATAATTTTCTTGATTAATGACTTATATTCGGTTTTTATTCTTTGTTTCTGAATGAAATTTCATTTCCCTCGCCTATATGATCATAACTTAAATAATCTGGCTTTGTTTTTATGTGCTACAATTTTTATTGTTGACTGATTTTTTTCATGCTGAATTTGTAATGAATGTCATAAAAAAATGGAAATGGTTGAAGCGATGCAATTGATGTATATATTCATGATTTTAATTTATTCACATGTATTGTATTTCGATCTCATAAATTTGAAATGTATTATTATTATTATACTAGGGATTAAAAGAGTGCTACTTTTGAGGTGTTGAAAAGAGGCAGATTTTAAAGATAATTGTTAGTTTGTTACTGACAATTTTAAGTTCCAAAAAGAAAAATGCCAAAGGATAGAAGAGTCGGTTCCTTATCTTTTCAACGCTCTAGGATCTCTCCTTACCCGTGTAGTTCTAAGGACAGGGATGCTAAGCAATGCCACCCGGATAATCCATTGGGATTAGGATTTGGATCAGCTGAGGATGTTAAAGAGTGGGAGGATGCAAGGTGCCCCATTTGCATGGAACACCCACACAATGCAGTACTTTTGCGGTGTTCTTCCTTTGAAAAGGGTTGTCTCCCTTTCATGTGCAATACAAGCTACCGCCATTCAAATTGTCTTGACCAGTTTTGTAAGTCATCGTTGTCGTCTCCTTCCACTGCTGTGTTACAGGAAATTCCTTTGGGAAACCCGACCTCTACTTCCATTGGTTGGAGGAATCCACCTTTTCACTATCATCAAACCGATGCGGGTAGTGATATACAGCAGAAGCTTTTTTGCCCTCTTTGTCGAGGAGACATTTACGGCTGGAGTGTTGTAGAATCAGCTCGTCACTTCATGAATTCCAAAGTCAGGAGTTGTTCTTCTGAGACATGTGATTTCGGTGGGACTTATAGTGAACTTAGAAAGCATGCTAGGTCTGCTCATCCTTTAGTCCGGCCATCAGAAGTGGATCCGGAACGACAGCGTGATTGGACTAGGTTAGAGCGCGAAAGGGATTATGAGGACATGCTTAGCTCAATCCAACCAGTTGCTGGGGAAGAAAGTAATGGAGAAAGCCTTTCAGATCTGGAGGATTTTCGTTCTTGGTTAACTATAAATCTTGCATACTTGACACTTGCGCTCGAGTTCATCAGTGATTCTAGGGGTATTGAAGATGATAATTTTAGGAGGAGATTGGGGAATAGGAGGTTTAGGTATGATCGAGAGTCTGATCATGGTACTAGGGAGAATAATAGTTCTGCATTTGATCAACCACTCCTTGGTCACCGCAACAATCCTATGCCAGAAGAGAGACTTCCAGGTAGACACCGTGCCTCACAGGGCATTCTCCAATGGAGGAATAGCAGTTCAACATCAGATAGAGTTTCCCAAGGTAGGCGCCGAAGCTCACAAGCTGACAGAACACGTCGAGGCCAAGGTGGATTGCGGTGGCGAACACCAAGATGGTCCTCCAATAATGGGCAGTGATTGGAGCTCATTGTTTAATGATTCTTGTTGTCACAGGTACAAAAGCTTTTGTGCTCAGTTTTAATATTAACTGTTGTTTCTCTAGCTGACTTTTTAGTCCTTGTTCTTTTTTATGCTTTGTGTTTTTTGCATTGCAGATGGAAATAAAAGCAGGGGTTAAGGGTCAGTGTTTAGGTTTATTAAGTCGTGTTAGACTTTGAAGTAGAAAGTGAAGTCCCTGTTATCCCTATTTTGTTCTTTAATTTATTTGTCACAGAAACAATGTTTTAATGTTAAGAACATCAATTTCGTCTGTGTAAATGTTATCTACTTCTGCAAAACTTCTGATTGTTTGCAGTGCGGGAATTGCTTAAAATGTTGTTGGAAAATATCCCCTTTGTCACTTGTATACGATTAGTGAATCCTTTTTAGTGCACTTGTTAATTAATGTTGTTGGAAAATATGCCCTTTGTCACTTGTATACGATTAGTGAATCCTTTTATTCGTTAACTGAATAAAAGAGAACACCCTCAGTTGTTGTTGCTGGAATGGCCAGGGTTCAATGCTAAGTGGTTTTATTCGGATTACCGGTCTTCCTCGGTATGGCATGGATCATGGTCTGTTGTTAACATGAACTGGGAGCTCTATGCTTGATGCGGTCTACGTATTGTTATTTTTTCTCCATTTTTTTCTTTCCGTTCTTAGTTATCATATTCCGATCGGCGATGCTAAATGAACTTCATTTTGGCTTGTTTTTATTTATTTATAGGAATTGCAGGCCTCGATCATTTTGGCTTGTTATTGTTATTATTTTCTTATGGTTTTCTTGCATATAACAAAACATTAAGTTATCTTGAGTTCAAGTCAAACATTTTATTGAGTGATCGTTGAAAGAAATTTATGTTAGAAACTTGCAAGTTTTTTCCTATTCTGTAGATAATGAAAATGGCTGTCCCTTTTTCCCATATGTATGGGATAAGGGGGAGGTAAGATAGTAGGCTACCCCCAACATCAGGTTGAGAGCAGCTTCCGTAAGAGACCTCCGAATTATGAAATGTCCTCCGTGGGACTCAATCCCACGACCTCAAGGTTAAGAACCTTGTGCTCTACCAACTGAGCTGGATGGTCATTTCTCTGTAGATAATGAAAATGAAGTCTTTAAATTATCATTGGATGGCTTTGTTAGACTTTATCCATTATTACTTAATTCTTTCGGGACTCACTATTTTAGTTAAACTCAAATCTAACGGTTCTGATCAGACTTGTATTTATGAGTTCGGGTTGGGTTGGATTTTTTAAGGAGTGGGGTCGGGTTGGGTCGGGTTTGAGTGGAGGATGAAATAACTCCGACCTAACTTGACCGGAGGATAATAATGTTTTTCTTTTTTTTAAAATATTATTATTTTAATTAAGTTCTTATTTTATATAGGGTCGGGTTGGGTCGAGTCGAAATTGTAGACTAAAAATTCGGGTCAGGTCAAAATCAAGCGGTGATATATATTTTTTAGGTCAGATCGTATAGAGAATATATAATTTTCTGATCAAATCGAATTTGGATGGAGAATGCATTGAACCCCTCAACGGTTCCAATGAACTAAAATAATAAAGACCCGCCTCAACCACTTCTTCACCAACAATATCCCAAGTCCTTTGGAAAAATCGAGTCGTATAGCCCATCAAGGCTAGGCGTCCGATCCCCACTCAAAGAGAACATGGCAGTCTTCACTTCATCTCTAGTAAACGGTTTACTTAATTCCTCCCTGGCATCAGCAGCAAGCCCACCCCCAAGAAGATCATGCAATAGACTAGCTCGAGGGACTTCAACAAAGCTATCCTTCATGCCCAAAATACTACAAAAATATTATAAGAATTCATCAACCAGCTGCTTATGACCTTCAAGCCTCTCACCATTTCCATTAAAGAGAACTCTAGTCGAATTACGACTGGTCTTGATCTTAATCATACGGTGAAAAACCCCATATTCTTATCACCCTCCTTTAGCGATTGAACCCTAGACATTTGTCTAAGTAATCCCTCCTCGGCATCTAACAAGGCTTTATATTCCCTGTACAAGTTACACTCGTCACTCAAACTCCTGGAAGTAGCTTAACAGTCCGATTTAGTAATTGTCTCGATTCCAACTCCACATTTTTCTCCAAAACCGGCAAGTGCTAATCACCATAACAATCTTTGTTCATGTTCATTAAAACCAACTTTAACCTTCGGCTTTTTTATCCTACAATAAAACGTTAAATACCAAAATACTTCAAATATATATATAAGCCAAACTAAAAGCCAAACTAATCATTTTAATAAATGTTTTGGGTTAATTTCGGCATTATGTAAAAATAAAAAACTATGTGAAGAACGTTACCCAAAGCTAAAAGACGTTGCACTTTTCTTGTTCTTCATTGTGAATATATAGAACTTGGTATTTCTAGAAGAACTACAAGAATGAGCTGTACTAATTCAAAAACCGGGGAGGTCCACTTTAAGCAAATTTAGAAACATTATCTTTTAATCACTCAAGTCCTACAAAAATTTGAAAATTTTATAGGAAAAAGTTTAAGTACTAATTCAAAGAGCAGATATGTTCACTAACTTACCTAAACTTCCTTTTTTTATTGGCAAAAACAGAGATTATATGATATTTAAACTTTTAACTCGAAATTAAATAATAATTAGAACTTTAATAACAACGCCAAAAGTTTATCATTAAACAAACGACTACTTTATTACAAAATATTCAAAATTAATTTTACATTATTTAAATATATATTAAAAAGTTTATAATAATATATCAAAATAATCATGAGTCAAAATTAAAAAATATGATTAAAAAAACAATAATAAACAGATTTAATAGGACAGATGAAATACAATTTTGTAATTAATTTCAAGTGAAAAATAAATATATCAAGTGAACCATCCTCCACTAAACCTGAATCCCTGATGATATTGTCTAGTGCCCCACAGAGAACATATACACTACCATTTTGGATTGGAGTGTTTGAAACTAAATAAAATAATAAACAAAACAAAGTGTGACTTTATACAGCATGGGGACAATAATATATCCAATTTTACAACCTCAGCAAATTTACATTATAAAGCAATACCTTTCGCATTCAATCAAAAATAATAGAGACTAATAATATTCTTAATTGTTTGGGTCCAAGCTAGATATGATGGAGATAGACAGGTTTATATTTGTATAAGAATGCTATCGTAGTTTTAATCTTAAAATCGAACCTTAGAATCTTCATATTTGTTAATGCAATATATATGGGTGTAGCACCCAACTCTCTTAATGATATTAAATCTCAGCATTACCGGCAGCTAAATGATCATGCTAAAAAGTTCCATAGAGTAAATCGTGGACATAGGAAATTACTCAAATGTAATATTTGAAAGCTATTTCCCGAATTTCAATGGGTCCATGAGGCACAAATTTCAGTCTAATCACATTCATCACTAATAAATCTATTTTGATTATAACAGTTTAACAATTTAAAAAGAAAAATCCCTCAAGTAATGAGTGGTTGAAATCAAGTAAAGGGTGTTCATGGTATCACCATAAAGCAATGAAATCCATCACTAAAAGATATGGAATAGAGCTTGATTACGGAACACCCAATGAAACTTTAGTTGTATATCCTCAAATCAAGAAACGAGATAATGATGGATAGTTGAGTCATCCAAGCAAAAGAAGAAGAAGAAACCCTTTAGTTGACTGTCCTATTCTAATAGAGTTAGGTGTGAAGTGATGGAAAGTTTCTTTCAATTGAAACGAGGGGGATGTGTTCGTCGGGTAATGTTAGTAAATTTCAAGGGAAAGGGATAAGTCATCTTTTAATGTAGGGTAGTTGTGTAAGCTCCAATACCTCTACTTCTCCTTCTTCTTTAACTTCCTCACCTTCCACCATAATGGACTACGTCTCTAGACAATTTGAAATCATCAAACAAGCCATTAATAAACATTCCAATCGATAATAGTTCAACTCGGATTATAAGAAAATGAAATATATGGGGGTTATCAGTTATGTAGACAATATAAAATAACATCACTTCAATTTTTTTATGTATATGAATTGGATTAAAAAAACTTATCTTATAATCAATTTAAACGTGATAAAAATAGCATGCATGTCATCTTTTTGGCTCACATATAACAAAATTTCCGACCTTCCGACATGCAATTTGTATACTTGGGATTTGCCAATGTTTCGTACACTACAGCCTAATGAGTTTATATTTTGCCCTTTTTTTTCTTTCACCTATTAAAAAAGGTCATTGATCTAACGATTCTAAATGAAGAGCATGCCTTTACTATTTCAAATCAAACAAAGTTTAATTAGTGCGGTGGTTCCATTTGTTGGGGTGGTCGAGGTACATAGTCAAGACAACACATGCATCTACATACACCAAACTATTATGCATACATATACATTATAAATGTAATGAGAAAAATTAAATGCCAATACGATTTTTGCTTGAAAAAACAATTGGTCATCAGATAGTTATAAGTTAGATATTTATAATTCAGTTTAATTTGATTTAAATTATAATTATTTTTTTATATAGTTATAAACATTTTATTTATTGATTTATTAATCCAAAAGTTTATTAACATAATACTTTTAATTTAATTTATTTCATTTACAACTTGAATTTGAATAGTAAACGTTATTCGAGTAATGTAAGCTTCTCGTTTCATTATATCAATATGTAATTGTAATTTTTGTTAAATAATATTAATCGACCTTAGGGTGCGTTTGGTTCAATGAATGTAAGATTAACATTAAGAATAAAATATTACCATTGTGAATAAAAGATTACCAGGAAATAGGATTACTGGAAATGTTGTATTTTGTATTTGGTTGGTTTAACAGGAATGTAATATTATCGTGTTTGGTTAAAGGAATAAAAGATTATTGGAATGTATATTTGACCAAATTGTCCTTATTATATATTTGTTTTTTAACAAGTTGGAAAATATTTATATATTTTTCTTTAAAAAAATATAAATTAATAAAATTTATATTATTTTTTACAAAATTAAAAATATAAAAAGGTTTAATGAAAGGGTAAAATTTTATTTTAACCCCTGAACTTCATATAAAATTTTAATTATAGACTTTTTTTTGTAAATCTAAAATAGTTTAAGGCTAAATTTGTAATTTAACCTTCGTAGAATTTTTATTATTCAATGACAAAATAAGGATATTTTTGAAAGAAAACTTTTTTTAAGGACATGTTAGTCCAAAACGCCGGTAATCCAACAATACATAAGGAAAGGGAGGTAATGACATTCCCGGTAATATACCCAAAAAATCTACTA